ATATTTGCCCTACATAATGATCAAATTCATCACCCACATACACATTTAATTCAGTCTTACAGAAATGCAGTGAAATAGAAATTACTATTTCAATTTAGAAATGACAAAGATGGCTAAAAGTGCCTAAGTAACATTTTACAGTCTTAAAGCCCTTTTTGGTCTAATATTAAAGATGACAACTTCTCTAAAAACCTAAAATGAATCTAAAAGACTTTAAAAACTAATGAATCAAAACTACTAAATTTAGTGACTATTAAAACTCTTAAAACAGGATGCAGGGGTAAAAAATGAAACATGTTTTGTTACCCACAGTGATCTCTAATTTAAATAATTAAACACTTTATAGTACTAAGTAGAAAATTACAAACATAATAGAACAGGCAAAGAGAAAGGGACAGGACAGTACCCTATATTCCGAGAAAAACTAACCTACATGAAGTTTATGGAAAATACATTTGGGAAGAAAGACTAACAGTTATATTTCTGTTATTTTCTGCTCACTTTTCTCTAACTTAAATTTGGTTTGTCTCAGAGACATAGTTAAACTGTGCCTCTGCACAATGTTGACCAGGTTCTTTTTCTTATCCTTTGAAACACTTAAGCCTAGAGGAAGAGAAGGTGCCCTCCTTGATCTCTGCTGTCTCTCAGACAATTCTCATGTAAAAATTGGATCACAGACACTGGCTGCCTCCTCTTCTCTTTAACAACACAGCTGTCAAAATTCTGAATGATTTTAAAATCTTTTAATGCTGGGCCCTTGATTTTCCTTCTTATAGTGACTTTCACCTCTTTCCTACCTTATAGGTCAATGGACAATTATACTACTAGAAAAAAATGTACTACTTTGCACTACTCTGAGAATAATTAATGTGTGGTGGTTAGTTCTGGTTGTCACCGGGAATAAAATGGAATTTGGTGGGTGGGAGACACATTTGGCACATATCCTGTGGCATACAGTTCTGCACACCTGAAACACCAATGACACTTCTTACCGAAAAATATTGCTGCTCTACCTACACCCTACTCAGACACCAAGAATTCTTCAGGTATATAATCCGTTAATCTTGTCACTTTCCGTCTTCATCACTTATCTCTCACATCCCTTTTGAACCAATTTACAATCTGTGTCTCATCATCATAATCACACCCTTAGTCCTTTCTTGCTTAGTAAAACATCTTACCAAGTCTTGATCCTCTTTAACTGAATTTTTCATGCATATATTACCACCATGGCAAAAAGGTAGCAAAACAAAAACATAACCACACCAACTGATTTTAAAATATTACTAATCTTAGGTAAATTATTACAGATGTCTGGCAATTATTTTGTAATATCCCAGTCTATACGTGTTCCTAGAGCTTTACTTTTCCAAGTGCAATATTCAGACTAACCATCTGCGAGTTTACTAGAGATGCAGAAATTCAGGCTCTGTAAAAACCTACACCAGAATATGCACTGTAACAAGATCTCTAGGTGATTTATTAAGTGCATATTAAAGTTGGTGAAACACTATCTTGGAAGGCTGCTTCACATCTTCTCAAATACTTCTGTCCTTTACTCTTCAGCAATTTAGCTTTCACTGAGAAAACAAGAGCAAAAAAAGAATACAACTTCACAAGCTTCCACCAGATCATCCGCTTACTGGCCTCTATCTACATCCACACACTGTGCCACAATGTAACTAACATCCACATTCGAGTGAAATCTTCACCTCATGTACCATCTTCTATTGCCCCTATTCAAGGATATCGATCTAGTTATTTGTCCACTCACTTTATACTACTTTTTTGAAATTCACTAGATCAGTTCCAAATGTTTTGCCTCTCATCTTAAAACACAAAGCAACAACAAAGACTCTATTATCCTACCACCATCTTCTTGATCTCATAACTAGCACTACCACTATGGCTTATCAATACACTTTAACAATTCCCTTTACTGTCTCCAATTATTCTTTCACTTTCTTAAAACTCACTCTTATATAGCTTTTGTACCCGCTATTTCATGAAAAGTGCATGAGTACCATCGAACAATTATGTCTTTAAAACATTTCTTAAATGCCTAATTATAAGTGGTTTCCCCAAATAAAATCCATTTTTCTTCAAAGAAAATAAACTATTCAATTCACTAATAATACTTACCTGGCTGAACATGAGTAGCTTGTAAGAAGTATTTCAAAGCTCTCTCAAAGTTCTTTTCATTTTCCAAAGCATGACCAACATTATTCCATAATTTGGCATTATTTTTATTTACCTTAAAAACAAGTGAAAATAGAAATGTTATAATTTAAAAGACTGACTCTGATTTAGACAAGTATTTGTTTAGTATACTATCAAGAATGGATCATTTCAGGAACATGTTCTGGGGTATGAGGAAGGAACATGTTCTGGGGTATGAGGAAGAATCATGACCACTTCATCAAATTTACTCATCTCTTCCTTTAACTTATTAATATACTAAGGCAGCAGTGTGATTTCATCCATTTTATTCATTAAATTATAGTAAAATTTTATTTTATCAAAGCACAGTGCTGTTTGAAAAATGTTCCTCTACTATTTGTATTCTCTTAAGGGAGAAAGTATTAGAATATGAGATTATGTTTCAATATTGTATTGACATCTTAGGCTTAATATGCATATTTAAAGCTATTCAAGTAGTCTACCGTGGGAATGGAAATTTTGGGTTAAAGTTCTGAGTCAATCTGTACTTTCAGAGTTCATTGATGGGCATGGTGTTTTTGCAGCTATAGGATATGCAGTCAAAAAGCCAGCTGCGGTAGCTGGGGCCATAGGTTTTAACCACTGGCCTGGAAGTGAGGACAACCCTAACGATATAATCGATGATGTGAAATAGGGTCAAAATTTCTAAAAATTATGAGGCTCCAATGATATCCCAAAAGTACAAACTGATAAGAATGGTACTGAGGTGTTGCTTGTTTGCAGAGGTGAGAGAGAAAATGGAGCTACTGTGCGGAGCAAGAGCAGAGACATCTGATCTTGGGTAGATGTCAAATCAAGAAGTGCCACGGATTACTGGAATGACACAGCAATGGAGATCAGCAATGGACAGTAAAAAAACAGACAAAAGGAAGAAGTTAGAGATGTGAAGAAGGGCAGGAGTAGAAAGATACAAAAACACTTTGCTGATAATTAAATGTGTGCTTCTTAATGAGACCTTTTTACAGATGTTGTTCATTCTATAGAAATGCTGCATCACTCAAGTCTACCAGTTTTGATCTTTACCACAGCACTGTAACCATTTTGTAATCACTCACACAGTACCTTTCAAAACAATTTTTTGTTGTGTATTCTATTTCACTGAATCAAATGCATCAATTATAGATCCATTACTTTATGTACCATTAAGAAAGGCCACTAATTACCTTTGAGAGGTCTTCCACTATAATACTTATTCTTATCTCCTATATTAAAAAGTTAAAAATGTTCATCCTAAAAACCAATGAAACATAGTATTCTATTTAAATATTTTATCATGTGAACTTTTAATAATCGAATAGCACTCAGGGAATTCTTCAGTATGCTTTGGTTACAGTTAAGCACTATTTGGAGAATGTGGTTATGGTACATATTACATAGAGAACAAATTATTTTCATTAATCTTTTGGTAAAATACTTTATATTAACAATTGAATGTGTGAATTAAAAATAGCTTTTATGGCTACAAAAAAACCTGACAGAAATTTTTGTCATTCCGAAAAATATCTTACCTTCAAGGCTGACATAAATAATGTATACTCAGACTCCCAATCCCAGTTTCTGTGAAGTGTTTTTAAGGCATGAGTAAGTATCACTACTGAGAGACAGGCCCAGGACAGCTTTTTAAATACACTGTTTAAGAGACCAAAAAAGAAAAAAAATCTGTAACACTAAAAGCATTTTATCTTTTAAAAGGTAAGAAATACTGTGAATAGTCTTGAACCATGTTTGTATTTATTCTATCTACTTCATTCTAATGGTTACCCAACTTTAGAGGAAACCAACACCGACAAAATTAAATATTACAAATATGATCTCCCCATTCACTCTTCAATTATACTACACAGTCATTACTTGCTATCTGTGTGGCACTGATTCCAGGATCGCCACTCTATAGGGTACTGAAATCTGTGGATGCTCCAGGCCGTTATATAAAAGGGCATAGTATGTGTATGACCTACACATCGTAAGTACCCTGAAGCATCTCCAGATTACTTTAATATCTGAAATAATGTAAATATTATATAAATAGCTGTTATACCATATTGTTTAGGAAACAATGACAAAAAAGTCTGTACATATTTAATACAGACGTGATTTCTTAGAAAAAATATATTTGATCTAGAGTTACTTGAATCTGCAAATGCAGGACACCTAGATACAGAGGTTGACTGCATATTCTACTATTTGCCTCTATTATAAAAGCTTTTAGATTAAATAAAAACAATAATCAGTTTTTAATTATGAATTTTTATATTTGGTCTTTTACATTCTTATCTACAACTTGGATATTACAATCTGTGTTTATACAGCTTATCTCTGGCTATATTTACAAGTTTTTGTTTACAAATAACATTATAGACCATCATGACATTCTGAGAATAATTTTATAAAGTCTGAATTGTCTATTAAAAGGAATAAACTCTTTACAGAAGCAAATTGCTCATACACCTTAGGCTAATTATTTGAGCCTCAATTTGTCATTTATAAAAAGACGATTCTACTTCAATAATCTTTATGAAATCATCTAGCATTACTATCCTCTGAGTTTGTGTTATTGACTCCATAACATGAGTTTAATTTCTAACGTAATGATTGATCCAGTTAACCAAAATAAGAGTATGGATCAGAAATAAAATGGTCATTGGAAATCTTAAGGTATAAACTTGAACCAAGGCTCTCCTGTTCACTAGCTGTGTGATCTTGTGTAATTCTGGTCACCTGTAAGAGCTTCAATTTTCACATCTGCAAAACAGAGTTGAGGAGTGTCAAAATTAAATGAGAAAATAAATCTAAAGAGTATATTACGATACTTGGCATATGGTAGGAACTCAAAAATTGGTAGTAATTATAGCTGGATATATGGATAGAAGGTAAAAGAAAAGATTTGGTATAGAAAGGAGTAAAAAACTACAGAAATGATTATCTATGAAGAATATACAATAAGACAAAAGTGGCTTTTAGTAAAACAGAACAATAGAGATATTCAAAGATAAAGCACACCAAGAAGAATCTGAACAGAAATGAACATATGTGGGGAAGAGATTTTAGGAGAGAGACTTTTTATAGAAATGAAGGAAATGTTAACAAAAACAAAAAGTGTTGAGCACAAATCTCCTAGCAGACAATTTGCTAGTAAAGTGATGTAAGAGAAGCAGAACTTTGTGGGTTAAAGGGTGACCGGAAAATGAGAAAAGTGACAGCAGTGACCATTCATTTCAAGTTGTAAAACTAAATTTCATATTATTGCATTAGTATTATTTAACCATTAACAATTTGCTTGATTTGGCAATTTTATTTATTTTTTTGGGAGAGTTTGAGACAGGGTCTCACTATGTAGTTGAGAATGACCTGGAACTCACTGCGTAGCACAGGCTGGTCTCCAACTCACAGCCTCCAACTCCTGAATGCTGGGATTACAGGCCTGCACCACCACACCCGGCTGATTTGGCAATTTTAGAGACGGAGTGTAGAATGTATACAATGGGATAATTACTAGAATGACTCCTTCTTTTCTTTTCTTTTTTAGGTCAGGGATTGAACTCAGGACCTTGTGCTCACCAGGCAGTTGGTGGCACCACTGAACTAAATCCCTGGCCCCCAGAATGAGTTTCTAAGCATATTGTTTCTTAACTATTAAAGTAATGACACCAAGATAATGATGAAGACAGTGAGAGTAAGAACTTATAAATTGCTTACTATATGAGTTTAACATATATCAAGAACACAGTATGACTCCCTTAAGTAGGAAGATTATATCTTAGTTCACTGAAAATGAATGGGGAAAAGGTTATTTGCAACTTTAGTCTCAAAAATATCCTTGTTTACATTTGGGTCTGACTCAAAGTTTGTTCTCCCTCAGGATGTAAAAAGTTACAAAAGTATGTGTATGAGTGGGGCGGGGCACAGAATGTGTAGGTTCTGGGGAGTTTTCCTAATCTGAATTATAGACAAATGAGGAAACTTATCAAAATGAAAAACCAAAAGATATAAAAGTATGGGTTATAAAATCAAACAACATACAGATTGAAAAATCACATATCTACATTTAATGCGTACTAAATGAACTAACATTTTAATTCACCTTTTATTTGAAATTTTCTGCCATCCATGGGCTACCAAAATACAAAATCCCATGCTAGGAACATATAGCACTCGCTCAGCAACAACAAATCCAACAGGAAAAAAAAGGTTCGATGCAGGAATAAATGGTAATGCTATTAAACAAAGTGCCTAGAAAGAAAAAGAAGATAACTTATTAAATTAAAAAAATGGATTCTCAACATTCAAATCTGAAATTTCATCATTTAACTTGGATAAATGCATCTATGGAACATTTTAAATACTATGAAAAATACTAATGTAAACACAAAGAGGGCGACTTAGGGATGGTAAAAATACACCAGGATTTGTGTAAACAAGATGAAATGGAAATCTTGAATTCTACAACTTAAAATTGAAGGACACCTACAGACTTTCTTTGAAAACCAGATTGCTTGGTATGTTTAGGGATGATTTCTTAAAATTTGAACCTTTCAAAGTATTTTAAATATAAACAGCTTAATCAGTTATCTTTCACTGCTTTTCTGTGAGGAATATGTCTTTGTAGTAAAATATAAAAACTATTCAAGGTAAATGTTTACATCTTTTAATAACTGAATAATAAGATTTCTCCAGATAAATAAAAAAGAAAAAATTGGAAATGTAACTAAAATAGTATATTCAACAATAAAAAACAATTAAAATATAGCCAAAAGATCTGAACTAGTATTGCTCTAAAGGCATACAAATGGCTAGAAGATAGATTTTTAAAAGCTCAAAATCACTATCAGAGAAATACATATTAAAACCCTAATGTCAACCCCACCTCATTAAAATCAGAGGGGCCATTATCACAAAAACAAGTGTTGGAAACCACGTGGGGAAAGGAAAGCCCTGACCACTGGATGGGAATATACAATAGCCTAGCCATTATAGAAAACAGTATGGCGTTTCCTCAAAAGCTAAAAATAGAACTTTCTTATGATCCAGCAATCTAATTGGTAAGTATCCAAAAGAAACAAAATTGATGTGTTTAAAGAGATACCTGTACTCCCATGTTTACTGCAGCATTTTTCACAACAGCCAAGAAAGGTAATTAACACAACTGTCCATGAAAGGATAAGCAGATACAGAAAGTAGGGTACATCTGCATAACAGAGTATCATTTAAGTTTAAGCAGAGGAAGTACTGTCATATGCAATGGATGAACTAGATGGGCATTAGTAATGTGAAGCAAGGAAGTCACAGAGAGCCAGGTGTGATGATACAGGCCTATAATTCTAGTACTCTGAAGGCTAAGGTATGAGGATCCCTGCAAATTCAAGGCTAGTCTGGGCTAATAGTAAGTTCAAGTCCAGTTTAGAATACATAGTGAGATCCTGTCTCAAAAACAAAAACAAAAAAGCAAACAGAAAGACAAGTATCCTATGATTTCATTTAAAAGGGTGATTTCACAGAAACAGAGACTATAATAGTATTTATCAGGCCGGGGAGGGAAAAATTTGGGAAGATGTTAGCCAAAGAACATAAAGTTGTTTAGGATGAATACAATTTTTTTTAATTAAAAAATGTTTACACACTAACTTCTGTACATGTGGCAAAAATAAACTGATAAGGAAAGACGTTAATAGGGTTTTCAACAGAAAAAACTACAAAGGTTGTCAACCAAGACAAACGTACATTCTTATAATTGCTACAAGAAACCATGTAATATTAGAAATTGAAGGGAGCAAATAGGTATAACTCAGACAAGACAGCAGAGCTTAGTATACATATGAAAATAAAACTGCTCCCTTTAAATCAATGGTCTTTATAAAGAAATTTCTAAAATTCGTAAAGTAAAAATATCACAAATGTTCAGATTTCTTGGATTTGTGAAAATGCGATGACAAATGATTTTGTGACTGTAAAGCAAAAAAAACCCAAAAAAACAAAAAACAAAACAAAACAAAACACATGAAACACCTGTCAAAGGATTTAAGTTTGGTCATCACTAGGAAATCTATATCTATGGACATGTGCTTCTACATTTTGTTACCCTAATTTGTTTTATAGTGCCTAATTAACCCTCCAGCTTCAGAAGTTTGAAATTCCTAATGGAAGAAATGTGTTTTCCCTATCATACTTCATTAGTGGAATACACATGTACAGATATATACTTTGAATATTTTCTCTATGGACATTCACATACATAGATTTGTAACGAGGTCATACTGAATATGAGGGAAAGTAGTACCATAAAACTTACCACACCAACTTATGTCAGTATTTTTGAAAGATGAAAAATGCAAAACATTAAAGAGTGTACATAATTTTCATTTCCCAGAGATGCTGTACAAAAATCATTCCCCATTAAAGCAGTTTCACTTGAAGGAATTAAAAGTGCTTAAAAACGGGCTGGGGATTTAGCTCAGTGGTTCGGTGGCCTGCCTTGCAAGCGCAAGGACCCGAATTCAATCCCCAGTACCCCCACAAAAAAAAAAGTGCTAAAATTCACTCAAAGCTGTGTCATAGGCTGATATATAAGCTATACCAAAGAAGAGAAATATCTTTCAGCAAGCTTATATAAAAGTTCTGAGGTAAGAAATGTCTCCAATGATCAATTTAAGAGTTTTAATTAATACTCTATTAATGTATGTCAATCTAGTTAATTATGATTACGTTTTTATATCCTTCTACAATATAAACTGTCTTTAAGAGGACGTATTAGAACAAACAGCAGAAAATTTGATGAATCTGTCACTTATTTCCTATGGAAAAACCTACTCATACAATCAAATAAAATGGGGATTAATAACTACTTATATTATTCTGTTGAGATATATCTGGCATCTTATTTAATAAATGCATAACATGGCATCTGTCCTTGGAAGATATTCCTTTATACTACTTATCCCTTGCAGAGATCCTCAGAAAATACCACTATAAAAAACCCCAGCATGTTTTAAACGAGGCACTGTGGTTGTTGTCTGTAACCCCAGAAGTCTGGGAGTCTGAAGTTAGATTAAAAGTTCAAGTTTTGCCTGAGCAACTTATTAGCAGGACCTTGTCTCCAAATAAAAAATAAAAAGCTGGAGATGTTGCTTAGTGTGAATGGCCCAATTCTATCCCCAACGCCAAAAAGACAAAATGTTTTAGAACACAATTTAAGTAGAATTATACTCAATGTTCATTTCTTTGGCATTGCTCTCTTTTTTTTTATGAAGCATACACTATATAAATCATTTTATTTGCCAAAATTTAATTGTCCCACCTTATGTTTTTCAATCTTTCTTTTAGTTTTTGTTTTGGTTTTTTTTTTTTTTTTTTTTTTTTTTTTTC